AGAAACATCGATTTGTTGTTCGACTTATTTATGATTCATTGGTTGATCTTTTTTTTCTTAGGGAGAAACATTTGATTTGTTGTTCTGCTTGTTTATGCGTTCATTGCTTGTTACTTATATGGGCCCTGACCAGGGATTGAACCAGCAACCTTGGCGTATTGGGATGATGCTCTAGCCAACTGAGCTATCTGGCCAGGGCTTATATTTCCCTAGCTTTTAAGTGTCTTTGAGACTGGGACACAATCTTTGTTTCCTTGGCAGGAATAGGCATATCCTTAATAGAAGCTCCATGAAATTTTTAAGGTGGCTTGAAGATAGGCAAAAGATCAAAACAAAAAAGAAAGTAACTGTGATTATTAGCTGATGGAGTTCATAGCATTGATTACTACTTGGCTAATTATGGATAGATCTTCTGTTACATATTAATAGATCTATTTTGTTCTTTTTAAAAAAATATATTTTGATTTCAGAGAGGAAGGGAGAGGGGGAGAGAGAGAGAAACATCAATGATCAGAGAATCATTGATTGGCTGCCTCCTGTATGCCCCCTACTGGGAATTGAGCCAGCAACCCAGGCATGTGCCCCATTCGGGAATCGAATGAACTATGACCTCCTGGTTCTTAGATCAATGCTTAAGCACTGAGCCACACTGGCCAGGCATGCTTTCTTTTTATGCCCCTGCTTTTAAGTACAGTATTTGTATACTGTATATGTCACAATGAAAGGGTTCAGTTCTAATTAATGGTGTCTTCAAAGAACCTGATTATTTTCCTGATCTGAGAAAATTTTCAATTATGTCAGTAATCTTTTCTAATTTTAAATTTTAAATATACTGTCTAGATTTCTTTGTTTATTTGTTTTACTATAACTGGTTAGTATCTTGTCATCAGTAAATTTTGTGTTTGCTTTGGTATTCTGTTTGGATTATGTTGTATTGCAGTATTTTCTAGAAATACTGGGTTTTATTTTACTTCATTTATTTTATAAATATATTTTTGATTTCAGAGAGGAAGGGAGAGGAGAGAGAGATAGAAGCATCAATGATAGAAGCATCAATGATGAGAGAGTGTCATCAATCAGCTCCCTCCTGCACGCCCCCTACTGGGGATTGAGCCCGCAACCCGAGCATGTGCCCCTGACTGGAATCAAACCTGGGACCTTCCAGCTCACAGTCCCAACGCTCTATCCACTGAGCTAAACCAGCTAGCGCTAGAAATACTGGGTTTTAATTTGAGAAAATATGTTTCAAAGGTGAAATATTCTGATGTAAAAGTTCACACTTGTGATTACCTATATTGCTAGCCAAAATATAATATCCATCAAGTCACGGCACTTACAGGAACTGGGATATGTAAATGTGTTGTTATTGTCCTAGATATCTTGTCACATATCTAGATCATTAACTGCCCTCTGTATGACCTTTTCTAAATTAAGTATTTATGGCTCTCTGTCTTTCAGGCTGGCATGACTCTATATAAGATTGTCCCCAAAAACCCTTACTACTTTTGGTCTGTGATGAGCTTAATTATGCAAGTGAGTATGGCATTCACAATGGGATTGAGATTTGCTTTTATATTTGTATATAGTTACTGTCCTTTAAGGGATCCTGTGAACGTCTTGGGTAGTCATGTGTCAAACAGGGACTTTCCATATTAGTTGACTTTTTGAGTTGGGGAGTTTTGGTATTCTTTATGAGTTGGTATATTGGTTTATTTGTGTGTAGCACAGACTGTATTCCCCCTGAATCTTAGATCCATTACTGGGTTATTTGATCAAGTATGTACCCTGCGATGTTAGATATTTTGACCTGACGTTTGTCTTTAAGACAGTATTGTTGGTTAGTGCATAGGTTATTGAACTGGGTGACCTTGTTTTATCACTTTTGCTTTCTGAGCCTTGGTTTGCTCTTTTACAGAATGGAGATGCTTACCTCCCAGAGCTACTGTAAGGACTGAAATGAGATATGTTGTAGGAGAGGATGGGGAGGTAGGAGTTAAAATGTAGCAGTTAAGAACAGAGAGCCTCTGGGTTTAGACAAGTCTGCGTTCAAATACTGGCTTCACCTCATGTCTTGGAGTGCAGTGGGGAATCTCATCATTTTATCTATAAAATAAGCATAATAGCTACCCTGAAAGGTTGTTTACAGGGGATAAATGAGCTCTGAGCAGAATCTGGCAGTGTTAAAATTATTAATATCATTCATTGATTTTAATTACCAATCTCAGGTAATTGTAGCTAATAGTAAGCTGTTTAAACAATTGGCATTTCTCTTCCAAAGTATGAACATCTCAAAACATCTGAAAGGCTTTTCAAACACTTGATGATACTCTTTGTATATACTAAACAGTATAGGCATACTCCCTCTTAACATATTTCTAGAAAAATGTTTGAATAATCTATTTAAAAGTTAGGTCATGTGGAAACTCAGCATTTCAAGATTGCATAGGATAATGAATTTCTAATAAAGAAATCTCTTGTAAAGCAAACCACTCTAGTGTATCTTTTTGGCAGGTTCAAATTAGGCCTGATATTTGACATAGTATAATGATAATTATGTGCTGGAGTCATAGTAATGGTCTGCATGGTAATATAAATAGTGCAGGCAGGGAGAAATTAGCATGAAACATTTATTATTTTCTCTTCTAGTCTATATCAGCACAGGATGAAAATCTCTCAAAAACAATGTTTCTGCCCCTTGCTGAGAGAATGGTAGAAAAAATGGTGAAAGAGGACAAGATAGAAGCAGAGGCTGAAGTGAGTAATTTAAGCCCTACTTTTGTATTTGTATGATTTTGATATTGCTACAATAAATATTATAATATTAAAAACTGTTGTTTTATTCTAGTTAAGAGGGCTGGGTCTTCACTCTTGCCCTTTGTGTAAATGTGAAGCTTTGGAAACCCCAGCTTAGACAATGAACATGGAGCTGTTTCAGCAAGTACTCTAGTCAGAGATGTATATAGATAGTCTTCCCTAAGACTCTTGTCTGATTCTTACTGTTAATTTCATCTCATTTGAGAATAGTGTTCTTTTCTATTAGATAACTTTTTAAAAGCATACAAATGACTATTTTTTCTTTTGTAATTACAGTTGAGATTCAATATCTTATATTAGTTGCAGGTGTACAGCATAGTGGTTAGATGTTTATGTAATTTATGACGTTATTCCCCCTCCCCCCTGATAAGTCTAATATCCATCTGGCACAATACATAGTTATTACAGTACTATTGACTGTATTCCCTGTGCTGTACTTTACATCTCCATGACTGTCTTTTTATTATTGAAAAGTTTCAGTGGTTGCACTTGTTTGTTTTTCTGTAAGGTTGAACTTTATTATATGATCCTGGAGCGTTTGGGAAAGTACCAGGAAGCCTTAGATGTCATCAGAGGAAAATTAGGAGGTAATTTTGAAAGTTTTAAAGTATTTTTTCCTGCTTAAACATGAAAAATGTTTATTGTGGAAAATTTCTCATAGAGAAACAGAAAGATATAAAGACATAAAAAAATAACTTATGATCATTTTATGTTCTTCCAGACTTTTCTGTGTCGTACATTTATTTATTTTTAAAGAATATTTTAATTGAATTTATTGGGGTGACATTGGTTAATAAAATATTTAGATTTCAGGTGTACAGTTCTATAATACATCATCTCTATTTTGTATTGTGTGTTCACCACCCCACCCAAGTCAAGTCTCCTTCCATCTCTATTTATCCCCCTTTTATCCTTTTCTACCTTCCCCCACCGCCCTTTCTCTCTCGTAATCACCATATTGTCTGTGTCTGTGAGTGTTTTGGTTTATTTGTTTTAAAAAAATGATGTGAGAGAGAAACACTTTGACTGGAGAATGAATCGGCAACCCAGGTATGTGCCCTGGTCTGGAATTGAATCTTTTCATTTACAGGACAATGCTCCAACCTACTGAGCCACCTGGCCAGGGAGTGACAAAGATTTTTGCTTTCTAACTATTTAAATATGTATGATGATTTCCTTAGGAGAAATTCTTGGAAATGCAGTTATTGCCTCAGTAAACCTGGTTGGTTTTTTTGTTTGTTTGTTTTATTTTTTTTTAAATATATTTTATTGATTTTTCACAGAGAGGAAGGGAGAGAGATAGAGAGTTAGAAACATCGATGAGAGAGAAACATCGATCAGCTGCCTCCTGCACATCTCCCACTGGGGATGTGCCCGCAACCTAGGTACATGCCCTTGACCGGAATCGAACCTGGGACCTTTCAGTACACAGGCCGACGCTCTATCCACTGAGCCAAACCGGTTTCGGCTTGTTTGTTTTAAAATATATTTTTATTGATTTCAGAGAGGGAGGGAGACACCCACTACTGGGGATCGAGCCTGTAATCTGGGCATGCGCCCTGACTGGGAATCGAACCCTGGCCAGGTTCATAGGTCGACGCACAACCACTGAGCCACACTGGCAGGGCTAAACCTGATTTTTTTAATTGTGCTTTTACAGTCTTTGGGACTAACTAAATTATAGATGAATAACTTCAGTTCTCTCATTGGGTAGTCATTAAAAAAACTTTGTTTCATACAAGTATGTAATATATATATCTTTTATTAGACTGTAGTCATAGAATGGTTACACTAAATGATACTTAACTAGTTATATAAAACTAGAGTCCTGGTGCACGAATTCGTGCATGGGTGGGGTCTGTCCAGCCTGCCCTGATAGGGGCCCATCGGACTGGGCCATTGGGGGTGAGGGGCTGTGGGCGGTTGCGGGGGGTCTGATTGGGGCCCTGATCAGGCTGGTTGGCTACCACAGTGTGCATCATAGCCACCGGTCGTTGTGGTCGTTCCGCCGTTCAGGTTGCTGGGCTTTTATATATATAGATGTAGCAGGAGGTGTGTGTGTGTGTGTGTGTGTGTGTGTGTGTTTTTAACATTACTTACTCTCTTACCTTCAGCCTCCTTGCAGATGGGTACAAATCAGCCTTTCTGTTTCTACTCATCTAGATTGTATTTCTGTGTGTAGTTTAAATTTAGACTATAGGAAATCATAATGTAATTGTCAGTATCCTTAATCTGCTAATCTGTTAGAAAAGGACAGGGCAAATTTAATTTGGTCAGAAATATAGTTGTAGTTTTCCTCCTTTCAGCTGTTGGTAAAGAGTTTCATTCATCTCTGTTCATTTTTTATCTTTCTCCTAACATCTCTGTCACCTTGCTCATCCCATTCCAGTCTAAGCTTATTCAATGTTTTGGAACTGTATGGATGGGAAATCTGTCTGTGGACTAAATATACCAGTCCCGACATTCTATTGGGGCTTTATATGTGTATCCCACATACTAGAGCCTCAACTCAATACATTCTGGATCCTGTCTTTTATATCTATCTATCTATCTTTTTGGATCCTTGTCTTTTACAGAAAAAAAATATTGTAAACATTTACTATCAGAAATGTACTTTTTTTCTCTTCAGTAAAATAGCCTATATAATAAAAAGCTGATATGCAAATTGACTGAATGGTGGAATACTGGTCTCTATGATGTGCACTGACCACCAGGGTGGGCAGACGCTCAATGCAGGAGCTGCTTGCTCCCTGTTGGTCATTGCGCTCCCACAGGGGGAGCTCCGCTCATCTAGAAGCCAGGCTCATAGCTGGCGAGCACAGCGGTGTTGGCGGAGCCTCTCCTGCCTCCATGGCAGCGCTAAGGATGTCCGCCTGCGGGCTTAGTCCCGCTCCCCGCGTGGTATGGGCCTAAGCCATCAGTTGGACATTCCCTGAGGGTTCCCAGACTGCGAGAGGACACAGGCCAGGTTGAGGGACTCCTCGAATGCACAAATTTTTGTACACTGGGCTTCTAGTTTTTTAATAAGATAGTAGTTTGTATCTAATGGTGGCTCCGTTTTCTGAGAGAGGGAAAATGTGCTATTATTTTCCTTTTTGTGTTTGGACTTTATTTTGGTTTCTGAGCAAAAATGAAACCAGCTTATCAACTATTATAACTTTTAATTATAGAGAAGTTGACTAGTGAGATTCAGAGTCGGGAAAATAAATGCATGGCTATGTACAAGAAGCTGAGCAGGTGGCCAGAGTGCAACGCCCTTTCCCGGCGCCTCTTATTGAAAAAGTGAGTAGATGCTTCTTTTTGGACTATATGACTAGAGTGGGGTTTTCAGGTGTCATTATTGATGTGTTTTGTCTATGTCTTTTGAGATTTTGGGCATAAAGTGTGTCCTGAAAACTTTAAAATTTAAAAAAAAGTTTTTGATGAACCATCTTTCAGTAAAGAGTTATTAGGTCTTTAAAATGAACACTGAAAATCATTTGTCAAATTTAATATTCAATATTATTAGCCTAACCTTCCCCTCTCCCCCATTTAGGAAGTGCTAATGTTGGGAGTTTTCTGTTAAGAATATTAATTTTCTAGATCTGATAATTTTATTGAAGGAAAGAGTAGTATCTTAAAAGTTTTTTACTTTTAAAACACCTCTAGAGTGCTGTGATTTTGGGGCTATAGGGGAAACCCAGAGGGAAGGGTGGGCTTCTAGTAAGAACTAAAGTATAACTTAGAAATAAGTTGAATATCATGGTTCCTAATGCAGATTTGTCACAACTTGTGTTTAATCCTGTGTGTACCATTCAATCTGATTTTTAGCTCAGATGACTGGCAATTCTATCTGACTTATTTCGATTCTGTCT